GCTGCAGAAATAGTGACTGGGAAAAGGGGAAAATAACTCGTACTCACAGGTCCTCTCGATGCTGGGGAACTGTCCGGAGTAATTAACACCTGGGCCTTCTCGGGGTCCTCTCCAGGGGATGCTGAGCCTCCTCTCCACCTCAGGGTCTCCTGGTTGATCTCTCCGATGTGGGATGAGGTCCAAGATCCTCCAACAATCCTCTTTACACTGTTATTCTCTGTAGTTCTCTGAGCACAATTGATACGACGCGTCAACTGGGGCAGTCGTGAGACGAGTGGCTTTCCTTCCCGTCAACGTCTTCTTCGCAGGGAGGCAGATCGAAGTGGGCCAGGAGCGGAATCGTCATCCGCTTTTCGGGTGCCTGAGGTGAAGGGGGCGTTCTTCGGGGTTTCTTCCTGGGGTGCCGGTGTTCCACTTTTCGTCTAGGGCCGGAACTGTTCTCCATCCTGGGGTCTCATCGTTGCTGGTCGAGGGGGACGGAAGGGTGAGGTGGGGAGGGAACTAGAGTAGCCGTGGGGGGAAAGATAAGGTAGCCAGCGGTGGCCAAATATATAGTATTAGGGAGCAGTGTAGTTGGGGGAGATAAAAAGTATAAAAATAATGAAAAATAAAAAGGTTGCCTCGTCACACCACGTAAATAATGCAAATTTTTCATGTCCATCCTACCAAAGTGCTGTTTGTTGAAAATGATCCATTCACTTTCATTGAAAATTCCTTTGATTTCTGTAGGTGACTCGGTTTTGTTTATCCAGTTTGTGACTGTTGTGTTATCGAAGTCTTTTGTTCCTTGTGTGGCGTAATTGATCGGAACGTAGTAGGTTTCGGTCTGAGCTGGATCGGGTTTGAGCAGGAAACGTTCTTAAGTGATGGACACTGTATTCTTTTCGTAATCTCTTATGATGTTAACCACTGGGAAAGCGGGTGTATTTACCCAATTATTCAAAATATCTGTTGGTTCTACATTTAATCCCGTTACTTCTGGAAATTCTTAGATGTGTTCCTCAAATAGATCATCGGGAGTCACTGCTAGAAACTTCCTGTGAATCAACCCTCACATCGTTATTCATTCAAAAGAAAGCTGAAAGGTAAAAATGAGTGGATCACCATAGCTCCTCCATCGGAGAGCTGAAGAAAACTCACATTTTATCCAAATATCTCCTCATAGCAGTCTGAAATTTGTCTTCTCCAAGAACATGATTAATCATACGGATGATAGAACTACCTAAAATCATAATTGAAGAAAAATGAAATGATGATGGAGATCATCATTTTTGTTGAAAATAGTTTCACTAATGAAATTTTACCAACCTTTCCTATATGTTATATGGCTAAATTTAGCTGATATATTACTGTAGTTTTATATATCATGATTCATCAATACAGCTTCACTGATACTATCAGTTGAGAAAGCTTGATATTGGAGGATATCTATTAACTGTTCTTCCTTCAATCTCTATTCAGGCCAAAGCTGAGTGGATCGAAGAAAATTGAGAATTTTTAGAACTAAAATATCATTCGGAAAGTATGTCGAGATCATTACCTTATCCGTCAATGCGTATTGGAAATATGCCACAAAACCTTCGTTCAACTATACGGATTGCCACCACTTTGGACTGACTAAATTACCGAACCATTGATGAACTATTTCATGCAAAAACTGATGGGTTTGCCTTGCTAGAAGTTCATCTTTCAAAGGAAGTTGCTCCCTGCTGGAAATGATTTATAATCAATTTTTATAAATTTATTTCATCTATGCTTGTCTTTTCTAAATTACGCCATAGAGATGAGCCCCCAGTTTTCCATCGCGGGGTAATACGTTTCTGAGGGCAGCGAGATAACCATTTCCATTTTTTTCATACCATGGGATGCGTAAGATATTCCAGTATATGTTTCCATTTCTTTCAATATTTTTTCGACAATGTTCAAAAAATATCCACCACGCAGAAGAATATCTGATGTTGCCCATACTTTGAAAAATCCTGTTTCATCAGATAATGATGTATGATTTGTGACAACGAAACCAACTAAATAAGTAGACATCTTTGGCATAGTCTCGAAAGTTGTTATAAATTGAGTTGAATCAGTCTCATCGCTCATTGAAGACTTGGCAGGCATATTTGAAATAGCGTGGAGATCACGCTGATGTTTGATGGAAATATCAAACGTCGCTTTGAGGTGAGGTTCGTCCCACCAAGGCATTGCACGACGAGCGAAGATAGGCTCGAAATATATTGCAGCCATCCATCTAAAGCATGAAAAATTTAATAAATTGAGTCATGACAATGATTTTTAGAAACTCTTCGGAATTTCATTAATTACTACGATTCCACCTCAAACGCCGTTTCATATGAAAAACGATAAAAGTTTTTCCAATCCTGATGAAACTATGGACTAATTTCCCTGATGAAATTATGGACTAGTTTTTGACCAAATTTGGACGTCATTTTAGGACGTCCATTTTGGTCTAGTTGATGGTCCAAATGTGTCATTTTAGGACTTTCAAGGACTCGAATTCTTGATTGTTCTTCAAGTCCAGAGGACGTCCTCTTAATAATTCCCACATCTAGCAGGGGTCTAAAGGACGTCCAACCGAATGTGAGGGAGAAAAAATAGGGGTCAAAAGGACGTCCAGCGGGGATCGAAAGGAGACTAATAGGGGTCCTCAAGAGGTCCAATGTACTTTAATGAATGTCCATTGGACGTCCAGAGAAGTCTTATCGATCGGTCCACAGGACGTCGTTTTAGAAAACGAATTCAAGTCCAAAAGATGTCTTATTACATTGAGTGGGCGTCAGTTGGACGTCCAATGATGTTCCATAAATGAGTCTTCAGGAGGTCCAACAGCGTTCTGTGGATCTCTCATTCGAGACCAGAAAACGTCCGATATGATCAAGTGAACGTCCGTTTGACGCCCAATGAAGTCTCATAAATGGGTCCCCAGGGGGTCCAACCGCGTCAAGCTGATCTTCGATTGACGTCCACGAGACGTCTGATATAATCGAGGGTACATTCGCTGGACGTTTTGTCAAATCTCATAAATGGGTCTTCAGGACGTCTAACACCGTCCCGTTGATCTCCGATGGACGTCCACAACACGTCCGATATAACCCAGTGAACGTCAGTTGGACGTGCCGTGAACTCTCATAAATGAGTCTTCAGGAGGTCCAACTGCGTCCTGTTGATCTCCCATTCAAGTCCAGAAAACGTCCTCTGTGATCAACTGAAGGTCCGCTGGACGTCTATTCAAGTCTCATAAATAGGTCTCCAAAAGGTCCAACCGGGTCAGTCTGATTTCCGATGGAGGTCCACAAGACGTCGGATATAATCGAGTAAAAGTCCGCTGGATGTTTGGTAACATCTCATAAATGAGTCTTCAGAAGGTCCAACAGCATCATGTTGATCTCCCTTCAAGTCCGAAAAACGTCCTTTGTGATCAAGTGAACGTTCGCTGGACGTCCACTCCAGTCTTATAGATGGGTCTCTAGGAGGTCCAACCGTCAAGCTGATCTTCCATGGAGGTCCACAAGACGTCCAATATAATCGAATCACAGTCCGCTGGCCGTTTGTTAACGTCTCATAAATTAGTCTTCAGAAGGTCCAACAGCGTCCCGTTGATTCCCAATTGACGTCCACGAGATGTCCAATATAACATGTATGAGAAAAATGTATTAGAGAATTCTAGAGAATTCTCTAGTAAATTCTATTGGATTTCTATTTCATTTTCTATGAGTTTTGTGCCCGTTTCTATTGACATGTTCGGTAGAAAATATTCTATAGAAAAAGTCAATGGAAATCGATTTGTAAGTTCTTTCATTTGATTTTCTCGAAGGGAAGAAAATAAAAATTGAATGAAAGAAACTTGGAAAATTTGATCCGAGAAAATTTTACAGAAAATATCCCAATAGAATAAGTTTTATAGAGAAATGAAATTCTATTGACTTTTTTTATATAAAAAAAAAATTCTCTTCGTATACCCTTTCGGGTTTTTACGATTTGTTCCCATCCCACCCCCCAACCCGCTGCACCGCATTTACCGAAGGACTAAGGAAAACCTCACTTTGAGGGAAAAACCTGCCTAGGTACAGTCGTCCCTTTGACGAGACTACCGCTCGGCAGTGAGACTGTGAGATTAGAGCGCTACAAATTTTGACCGCCGTCGCCGGGAATCGAACCCGGATCACTGGCATGCTAGTCTAGCACTCTAACCGCACGGCCACTGCCGTCGGTGACTTTTTCTAGATAATATTTTCTATTGAAAATGTCAATAGAAACGGCAAGAAACTAATAGAAAATTCAATAGAAATCCAATAGTATTTTCTAAAAAACTCTAGGATATCTTATTGAATTTTTTCGTGAGTGAATTTAATGCACGTCCACTGCACATCGACTCAAATCTCATGAATGGGTCTTCAGAACGTCCACCAGCGTCCCATTGATCTCCAATTGACGTCCACGAGACGTCCGACATAATCAACTAAACGTCAGTTGGACATTCCCTCAAGTCTTATAAATGGGTCTCCAGGAGATCCAACAGCCTCGACCAACAGAGACCAACAGTCTCGACGTAGTGCGATCTACCAGGCGTCCAATAGTGTCTCTTCAGACTCCGAATCAAGTCCACTGGATAATTGATCTCATTTTCAGTTTTCAACTATGAGCACTGGTTTTATTATTCCATCAGGTAATCATTTTACATTCAAACTTTTACTTCAAATATTAAGTACTCAGACAGGATGATTAGTCATTGAAACATCTTGATAATATAGTGAAAATTAATATGAAAATATGCTGAGATCAATAGAAACATAAATTAACTGAGAACGTCAGCACATTGGCTGGAGAAACCTAACACATTTGCTGGACAGTTTCATTAAATTTCCAGACATTTTCTATTGGAAATTTTGAAAGGTTCTTGCAGTTTCTATATGAAAAATCTGCAGCTGTTTTGAACAATTATAACGAAAGATATCGTCGTCGTAGGGCCAAAACGGTGTAAAATCTATGCTTATACACACCACTTACGCCCCTTTGGCTCTACGACAACGAAATGTTTTATAAAAATATATTTTGTCAAAAAACCGGATCTAATTTTCTTATGACATTAATTCCATGGAAATATTTTTTGTTGGAATTCTCCAACCGACGATATTCCTACCATTTTTTTTATTTTTTGAATGAGAGTAGAAAATGGAGTTGGAAAAACTCAGAGAAGTTCTGTGGAGGAACTTTTTCAATGTATCTCTGAATAAAAAGTTGCATGACAGGATCGGTGCCATCGATTCATTCCATGAACGTTTCCATTGACACTTTTAAATGAAAAAAAAAAACTCATAAAAATTGCGGATGCGCTAAATAACATTAGTGAAAAACTGATGAAGGTCTCGAGACCCTAAGAGACCCTCGAGACCGCAGTCTTTCGTAGAAACTCAATAAAAATTCAGCACAATGCGCTAGCTTTTTCCACGAAATCTAGTGCGTCCACTGAAACCTAAAAAACATGAACAAAAAAAAGAAAAACACCGAACTCTAACATAATGTTCTACATCATTTGAACGCTGCTGAAAAAAATATTCAGTCCTCATCGTCTTCTTCATCCGTTCCACTTTTTTCACTGACACGAGTAACTGAGGAATTCTGTTCCCCGTCTTCCTCTAGCTCGTCAGTATCCTTCTCCTTTTCATCGTTGTCAATTTCTTGAGTTCCCTCTTCTCTTTCTTCCACATCCTGAGCTCCATTTAAAGATGTGAAGGTACTGGGTTCAGCGTCATTCTTTTCGGTAATCTCCATTGCCTGAGTATCTTCAACTTCAGCATTCTTCTTTGATAGTCCTTTCTTACTTACTTTTCCACCTTTCTTTTCTCCATTTGACTCTTTCTTCTGTATTTTTTCGGATTCTGACTTCCGTGCTAAATTACGCAATTGATATGTAACACGTTTCAACGTCTCACCGAGTTGACGGTCTTGGACCCAAAGCTGCTGCTCGCCCTCCCATTGTAAAGAATTTAAGATGTTCACCATGGCTTCTCTGTGGACTTTTGAAATTAGGAACTTATGTCCTTCTTTCTTAAGGGCATACTGAGAAGCATCAGCACCGTAGAAAAGATGCATCAGTGCTGTCACTTTTTTACTTAACCCCCTTTCTTTAGCTAAAGCCTGGAGATCTGTCCTACGTACGAAGAGCTTTTGTCCACAATATACCTATAAAGAACCAATTTTAAAATTAATGTTTCATACAAAATTTGACAGTAGAATTATCGCTCCTGACGAATTACAAATTTTTTTTTTTTTCGTTCAATTACGAATGGAGCGAATAATGAAACAAACAATACCTATACTGATTCTTCGTCAGTCCAACCAGCGATTTTTTTCGAGGTCTTCAAAAACCGGGAGGAATCGAAAATTTTTGTTATGTATGAAAAATTTAATAGAAAAGCTTTTTCACAATATTTTCATTTATTTCTCACAATAAAACCCAACAAAAAACTCAGAAAATCCATGCCCAAGAATACTTATAGATAAAAAAAAGTCTATTGATTTTTCCATTGAATATCTTCCATAGAAATGATGCAAAAAAGAAATAAAATTTTTCAATAGAATTCCAACGAAATTCCAATTAAAATTCAATGGAATTTCTTTGAGAAAGCGTTAGGTTTTTCTACTAAATTTTGTCACACGTGCTCTGATCCTTAAAATCAAAGATTTAGCCAAAATGTTAGTATTGATGACAAAGTCAGAAATCACCAGCAATGGTTTTCTTTCTCCGAAGGTCTTGCACGTCCCATTCCCATCTTCATCGATATACCCCGAATTTGAATCATCATATCACCATAATTGAAAGAGTATCTTAAAATTTATGTGAAAACTCGTTATTTGCATCGATCGATAAATCTCTTGGAGCTCGAAAATCATGTATTCCGTTTCCAATGTGCACCATTCCACGTCATTTGCACTTCTCGTTGCATTCATATCATTCCTCTAGCTGCCAGAAGAATGGAAACGTGAGATTTAAAACGATTTTTCATATGAATTTTGAGATACCTCAGTCCTGACGGGAATTTCGAGGTACCCTTGTTTTCCAAAAGAATCTCAGATACTCTTTTTTTATTAGCTCAGATATGAACGTCGAATATGGAAAATAGCAGGGGCCAGTGTGATTCAATAATTTATCAATACTCGTTGAAGAGAAATCTATTGTACTCATTACTCATAAGGAACTCGATTGTAAACAAATTTTTTCTGAAATTTCCGAAACACCTTTCTTAAAATTTAAAACGTTTGATAGCGCTTTTTCCTACGTGTTTTTTTTTCAAGTTGTCTGAGTGCGGAGTACTTGGAATCTTTCAATTTTGATATCCTATATTCTTTTCAGAAAGTCCCCAACAACTGCAGAACGTTTCAGTTACACAACAGTGATAGTTTTTTAGGCTTCTTATAAAAATCAGCAATTTTCCGGAATTTACTAGAAGAACTGTGATAATTCGTCAATTTTATAGGGAACCCTTCTTGAATGAACGAAGAATTATCTCGGATTCTCGCAGAACATCTCATTCGATTGACTAGAAA